TTTTTTTTTTGGTTGTTTTTCTCTTCTGTACGAGCGTCTTTATTGGTAGCTGTATGTACTGTCGGATGTGCTTCCCTCACAAGTTTTAGTGCCTTCCTTTTGTTTTTTTTATTTTTCTTTATTTTTATTTTTCCATTATTCCCCTTTATTCCCTTTTTTTTCTTTTTGTTTTCCCTCTTCCTTCCTTCCTTTTTTTTTAAAAAAATCTTCCTTCATTCCCATTGGTTTACTGTGGTGTGCCTGTACGCGTTGTATAGATACGATCTCCCAATGAATAGAGGCTTTCTTGTGAAAGGGAATGAGTTCCTACACAGGGTGTCTATATTTAACAATAATGAGTCGCTTGAGGGTTATTATTATTATTATTATTATTATTATTTTCTTGTTTTTTTTTTTCATTGGATTTATTACGTCTGTATGCATGTGTGTTTTTTTATTTATTTTTGGAATAACCCATTTTCTACTATTTTGGGATAAGAGTTGGGGTTTTTTGGTTTTGTTTCTATTTCTACCCACACCAACCGTCTCTCCAATTTGAGGAGGTGTGGGAGGGTGAAAAAAAAAAAAAAAAAAAAAAAAAAAAAACAAAAAAAGAAAAAAAAAACGAAAAAAAAAAGAAAGGGACATTCGAATCTCTTACTTTGATCATATAATTCCCATCAGGTCTGTCGTTCCACCCCTGTTGGGAGGTTAATCCAAAGAAGGGAATTTGGTCTATTCATTTCAAATAACGCAGAGATGCTGACCTTGTGTATATGCACAAATTGCTCCTAAATGAGATTTCCTTTTTTTTTTTTTTTTTTATTAAATGGGATTTCAATAAGGAGGCAAATTTCAATTTTTTCTTGTTTTCTTTTCTTTTCTTTTCTTTTTTTAAATTTATTGTCCATTTTCCTCAATGGTTTCACACTTGATGCTCCTTTTTATTTTACATTGTCGAAAAAGAGTGGGGCTTAATAGAGTTTTGTACACACTGTTGTGCGTTGATGTTCGTGTGGACTGCAATGCACATCGGCTGGTAGAATTTTCTCCTATGCTCTTTATTTCTCTTCTTTATTAGTGTACTTTTTCTTTTTTCCTTTTCCTTTTCCTTTTTTTTTTTATGTTATTTTACGTTTTTATGATTTTTTTTTTTTTTTGGTTTTATATAACTCTGGGAGGAGCAATTAATATTTTCCTTTATTATTTTCTTCTTCTTCCTCCTCCTTTTCTTCACCCACCCACCAGTCTCTTTTCCCTCCTATCATCTCGTTGTTCTCACACAAGAGGGAGAAAAAAAAATAATAAATAAATAAATAAATAAAAAAAAACACTGAGAAAGAAAAGAAAAGAAAAGGGAGAAATGAAAAGTGAAGACTTGTAAATCCACACGACTGTTATATTTTCTGGAACTCAGCGTGTATTTAAGGGTAGGGGGTGTACTGCGGGTGATGGATATTGGGTATATATATATATATATATATATATATATATGTATATATATAT